CACCTACCTGCTGACTGACCTAGGAGAGCAGCCTTGTTCTCCTCTTGTTCTGTACGTAGACAACAAGGCCATGCTGGCCTTGTGTCGGGAGCAGAGACTGGAGCACAGAACAAAGCACATTGCTCTTCGCTACTTCCTTGCTCGTGAGCTACAGCAGCGTGGTCAGCTGCGCCTTGCGTATGTGGCCTCTTAGGCCAACACTGCTAATATCTTCACCAAGGCACTTGCGCCTTGTGATCATCAGCGCCTCTGTACTCAGCTCGGTCTTGTGCCTACCTTGCCTCACTTGCTCACCCCTTGACCTTGTTTGTACCGTTACATATATATAAACACCTGCTCTTGCTTGTTTAGCCTTATATATAGATGTAATCCTTCGTGTGAACTGGCCTTGTGGCCTTGAACTTGTGCTCGGAATGTGTGGTGACGTTGTGATCCACCTTGAGCTTGCTTTGCTTTGCTTGACTGGTCTTGTGACCCCTTGTTCTCCCCCACTTTGCCTATGGGGGTGTGTGAGATTTATATGATTTAGCTACTGTAGGTTATAGTGGGGTAGCACATATGGGGTACAGCTTTCTAGGGTTTGTACTTGTACCCAAGTTTCCCTTAGTCTTTTCTTTCTCGTTCAATTTCACAGATCAATCAATTACAATTCTCTTTTCTGAGCTCGATCCTAGATCCTCACACCTTTCTTGTACGTTACCGTGTAGTGGAAGTTGGACTCGAGGTAGTCCAACCAGCGAATCTGTCGCGTGTTGAGATTTGGTTGGGCGCGTAGGTACTGTAGTGATCGGTGGTCTGTCAGTACTGTCACGTCGGCGCCAGTCAGGTAACACCGCCAAACCTTGAACGCGTGCACGATCGCCAACATTTCGCGGTCGTGTATCTGGTAGTTGCGTTCGGGCGGGTGCAGCTTGCGGGACTCGTACGCGATTGGCTAGAGGCCGTTCCCAAAATCCTGCAACAGTACTGCTCCCAGAGCGATGTCACTTGCGTCAGTGACGAGCTCGAACGGACGGTGTGGATCTGCGATGTGAAGCACGGGCGGTGAGCACAAAATGTTTTTGAGGGCCGAGAAGGCAGCTTGCTCTTTCTCCCCCCACGTGTACTCAACCCCCTTCCTCAGCACGTCTGTCAGCGGGGCAGTCAGCTTCGCCATGTCGGGGACAAACCGGCGCACGTAGTTGACGAACCCCAAAAAACTCCGCAACTCGGTCTAGTTGGTCGGCGCGTGCCATGCTTGAATCGTCGCAATTTTCTTCGGGTCTATTTCCACTCCTGCAACTGAAATAACGTGTCCCAAAAATTCCAGGCGGTCCTGTAAAAACTCACACTTAGACGCTTTGGTGAGTAGGCGGTTCTCACTCAGTATTTTAAAAACTGCTTCGATGTCCTGTAAGTGCTGTGCTCTGTCAGGGCTGTAAATCAGTATGTCGTCCAGGTATATGATGACGCACTTATCTAAGAGTGGCCGGAAAGCTTCGTTCATGGTCATTTGAAAAATGGCGGGGGCGTTGGTCAGTCCGAAGGGCATGACGGTGTATTCGAAGGATCCGTAGCGTGTTCGGAATGCGGTCTTAGTGCAGTCGGGCGGGTTGACGCGAATCTGGTGGTAACCCCCTCGGAGGTCGATTTTCGAGAAAACCTGGGCTGTGCGCAGTTGGTCGATCAGTTCGCCGGCTCGCGGGATGGGGTAACGGGATTTGATGGTAACCCTGTTCAGTGCTCTGTAATCTATGCACATGCGAAATCCCTCGTCTTTTTTTGGTGTGAACAGTATCGGTGCGGCGAAGGGCGACGAACTAGGGCGAATGAATTCCTTCTCGAGCAGGTAATCAAGCTGCTTCCTCAGCTCGTCCAGTTCGGGCTGGGTCACTCGGAACTGTCGCTGTACTGTTGGCTGTGCCCCTGGTTCTAACTCTATCCTGTGGTCGTGCAGTCGCTGAGGTGGCAGTCCCGTCGGTAAATCGTCCGGGAAAATGTCGCTGTACTGCTTCAACTGTGCTGCCAGATCACTCGGTACGTCGACCAGCAGTTTCTCTAAATCCCCTCCTTTGTCTGCTGCCTCGGCTTCCCGAATGTCGACCGCGTACACGTCAGCTCCTGCCGCTACGGCGCGTTTCATCGTGATCGCGTTGACACGCACCGACGAAGACCCAGGCGAGCCCCAGCGAGGTAAGGCGATGTTGTTACCGTTCACTCGCACGGTGCAGTCACCTGTCGTCCAGTCGATTCGCGGATTGTGTTGTCGCAGCCAATCACGCCCGAGTAAAATATCGGTTCCATCGAGGGTCGTTGCGAGCATTTCCTGGCTAAACGTGAAGTTACCCCCACATCGAATCCGAACCCGGTCTACGCGTTCCCGTATTACCAGCGGTGTGCCGTCTACCAGTCTTGCATCAATCTCAGGTAAACATCTGTCCAATGGCAGTCGCAGTTTTCGTGCTGTAGCAGTGTTGATGAGGCTGTAGCTGGCTCCCCCGTCTACGAAGATTTTTACGAAGTCCGTCCCGATTTTCCCACTAAGCAGTACGGGGCTGTCTACCGTGGTACCCTCCTTATTCGGCCGGGTGTGGTCGATTGCGTGAACCGACACAATCACTCGGTGAGGGTCGGTTGGGTCGGGCGAGCGGCGAGACCTGTCAGTAGAGGGCCTGTCTGCTACTGACTCCCAGCGTTTCCCTACTGCTTGGTCTGTTTCTGCTGCTCGGCCTCCCCCTTTCCCTTAGCGTTTTCCGGGCATTCGCTCTTGCGATGTCCCGGCCGATTGCACGCAAAGCAGCGCCCTTTGAACGGTGCGGCAGCGGCATTTGCGACGACGGCACGTATCGTGGCGCCCTCGTTCGTCCCACGAGGCCGATGTCCTCAATGGCTGCTTCCGTAGGACCCCGGTCTCGGTCGGCGGAAGAAATCAAGTTTCTCCGCCATAGCGAGAATTTCTTGAAAGTCGGTGACGCCGCGAAGCTGGATTTCCTGAGCGATGTCCCGCTTTAGGCCGCCGATGTAGCGGTCGATGCGCTCGCTCTCGTGCATATATCCCACCTACTCGCATAGCGCCAGAAATCCGCTCGTGTAGTCCTGGACGGAACCGAGTTGGCGCCAAGTGCGGAGCTTCTGCCGCGCCGCGATCGAAGCCGCGATTGGCTCGAAACGAGCGCGCAGACCTGCGCACCACGCGTCCCACGTGCGATACTGGGGCACCTCTACGAAATGCGACGGCGCCCAGGGTCCGGTTTGTCTTTCCCGTGTCGGTAGAGTCGCGTAGTCCATCGGCTTCGTGACGATGACGCGCCACCAGTCCATGGCGGGTCCTCGCAGCAACGACACGGCGTAACGAATCTTCGCCGTATCCTCCGAGACGTAGTTCACGTCGAAGAAAACGTTCAACGTGAAGAGCCACGCCTGAACGGTAGGACCACCCCGCTGACTTGGGTCAAAACACGGCGGATGCTGCGGCTTTAGCGGCATCGGCGACGGAAGAGTTGATCCGCCGGCCGGCACTGAAATCGTGACTTGAGGCTGAGTCCTGGCCGCATTCGTCGCGTCGGGGTGTGTCGTGCCGTGGTCGTCGTCTCCGTCGTGGCGGACGACGCCATCACTTGCGGCGCTCGCGGGTTGCCCCACCGTTTCGTGCTGTGATGTTTGTGGTGCAGGCTGAATCGGAGTGCCAGGTGCTTGGGATTGTGCTCGTGTGAGGTCGTTTTGCAGGGACGAGCGTTCTGCCGTCAGCGTCGCAATTTCCTCGGCGCTCTCGCGGATTTGCCGCAGCAGATCGTTCAAGTGCTCCTGCGTGAGAGTCGTGACGTCGGTGTGTTCAGCCATTTCGAAGGATGCCGGCTCGTCTTAGTCTAGGCGCAGTCGTGGCTGCATGTGTTTACGAGAGAACATAAGGACAGCGGCTCCTAGGTGCTAAGGTACGTGAGTCCCTTCGAGTGAAAGATCAAAAGTTGATTTCCTGGGGTGCGCAGATGCGCGGTCCGAAAGAAAGGGGCCTTGAATACCAAGTGTTACGGGTGCAATGAATCGAAGTAGCGAGAATTGCACTAAGATGTCAAACGGGTACAAAGATGTGAGCGAAGGCATGAGCGAACATTTATACACGAAACATGCAAACGGTAACGCGGTGCGTGCGAGCTAGCTAGTGCTATGCTGGCAGCGAGGCTCGGGCTAGTCCCGAAGCGTAGGCCGACACGGCCGGGTCAGCAGTGCGAGGTTTGGCAAAACAGTGCGCGCGAAGATGGCTAAGTCCCGTTAGCAGTAACGGGCGAACAACGGCTGTTGCTGTACACGATGTAGTCGGGCTCCGTAAGGAATGCCGAGAAAATTCCTTACAAAGCGACTTGACCTACAAGCATTAGGCAATAACCCTCCCCCAGACTTGTTCAGCGCATTGGCTTGCAATTCACGCGCCACCTTGTTTCTTGATCCCCTTCCAAGTTTGAAACCCCGATTCTAATTGTTTCGCATGTCTCAAGTAACCCCTATGCGAACTTCTTTCAAGCCGGTCACTGTCAGGATAACCTGGCCGTCACCTCGAAGTCTCCTCCACACTCCACGTCAAACGTTCCTCCCAGCATTTTATCCTGGATCGGAATGGCGAGCCCATTTGTCAGATGCAATTCGTTCGCATTGCAGGCCCTACTGTTCTGACCTTGACTACTTAGGTTAGAACACTACTGTCCGAGTGCACCCCTTATCACACCTTGGGCGCCATTGCACTCTTGAAATTTCCACGGTCAAGGTTAGCCTTACTTGCAGCCGCTAAAGAGACTAAGCCCTGCGTTCCGGCTGTTGTAGTTCCTGACTGTAAGCCTAACTCACGTAGATAGTGGATTCCTCCTTAGTCGCTCCTGATGTTGGTCCACCCTCCTAAAAACGGCGCCCTGATTTTTTCGTGTTGGTATCGTTTCCTCCGTTGTTCGTAGTTGATTACTTCAAGAATAGCAATTGACGGCCTCAATAATAATCATAGCTGCGTTTTATAGCCGGGACAGAAACGCGCCATGGATTACCGAATGCGGCTGGGGGATAAACGGCCGCTTGAAGATGGGAACGCGCCGCACCAGCCCGAGAAACGACAGCGAGTTCCGGCTTTAGCGAGGTAGCGTCGCTTGGACCATTCTACGAGTCACTTCGCTTATTTAGCTAGCTTGGTACACGAGACGCCTTACAATAGGTTTGAACGCTTGTATTGTAAATCTTAGCGCGTGCCTGAAGGCTGAAGGTTAGTATTGCTCCTGTCGAAGCTAGAAATTTTGCAGCTCCTGCCTCATGCTCCCTGCACCGTCCTTAGCCCAATCCGCACCGACGTACAATGTGGCTTGCTGTTATCAGGTCACTTCTAGATGCACTACCCTTGTTATGTCGGCCTTTTTTAGTTTCTGCTGCCTATGCCTGCGTTTGTAGCGTTTGCCTTTTGCTTTTTTACCAGTACGCACACGAGCTTCGTACCGGTTTCTGCTGAGGTCCTTGTTGGGGCTCTCTGCCGGATTTCTTAGTTTGCGCCGCTCGAATGTCACGGCTACCCTAATCCTTTTATTCCCCCCTCTTCTTCCTTGTCCGTTTCTTTCCGTATACTCGAATGAATTTGTTTGTGGGTATTTACTACTTATCTTCGCTGGTCACCCTCGATTCTTTATCATCGCAGTGTAATTGTAGAGGCGGTCAAGATGGACAGTTTACAGAAGCTCTGCTCCACGCTCGAGCCCTTGTTACGACGCGTGGTGCGTGGTTCAAGTCATAGGTGCTCTGCTATAATCTCCTGGCCGCATTGTCACCCTGCCCCTCTCTCTCTCTCTCCCTCTCTCTCTCTCTCTCTCTCTCTCTCTCTCTCTCTCTCTCTCTCTCTCTCTCTCTCTCTCTCTCTCTCTCTCTCTCTCTCTCTCTCTCTCTTTTCTTTTCTTTTCTCGATTGCGCACCACGTTATTATCTGATTTTGGCGATACAATCCCTAACTGCCCGCATGAGACGCTGGATGTCTGCATGATCGCTTACCTGCGCGTACCTGAACGACCCTCTTCTTCTTCCGTCGTGTGCGCGCGTCTCCTGCTTCTGGCTCCTGCGCGTGTCTCCTGTGTACTCCCCGTCGCGTGTGTTTCTCTATGTGTGTCTGTGTACGCGTGTGTGTGTGTGTGTGTGTGTGTGTGTGTGTGTGTGTGTGTGTGTGTGTGTGTGTGTGTGTGTGTGTGTGTGTGTGTGTGGGTTCCCATCGTAATCAGGTCGGTGAAGAGGTGGAGAAAGCGCTCGCGAAGCTTGTGCCCAACAATGTACCGCAGCTGCCTGGAAGGTTCGTTTCCGTTCGAAATCATATGCGCTTCTCAAACTTAACTCCTCCCGCTTTCTCTTTCCTTCTCCATAACCCATCCGCCCCTCTTCCCTCCCCTCTACCCCCCACCCACCCTTCCCTCCTAACCATCCTCGGACCCCCCTGCGTCCCTCCTCTCGTTTCTGTGCCTATTCACTCCGCCTCTCCTCGTTCCGCCTCACTTCCCCATCATTCCGCCTCACTTCCCCCCTCATTCCGCGCGCCTCCCCTTGCCGCCGTCCCCTTGCGCCCCTCCCGGCCGCTCCCCGTCCGCGCGCGCGCAGACCCGACCCCAAGCGGCTGCCTGCGCCGGAGAGCTCGCGCAAGCTGCGCCTGGCGTTCCGCAGCAAGCTGGCGCTGCCACTGTACACGGGCGCGCGCGTGGAGGGGGAGGGCGGGCAGGCGGTGCACGTGGTGCTACAGCACGCGGACACGGGGCAGACGGCCATGGATCTCCCGGAGTCTAGCGGGAAGCTAGAGGTGGTGGTGCTGGAAGGGGACTTTAACAAACCTATTGACGACGACTGGACGCAGGTGAGTCGAGTTTGTAGACGTCTGAAAGCGGAAGCAGGCGGTGCACGTGGTGCTGCAGCATGCGGACACACATGGGGCAGACGGACGGCCATGGACCTTCCGGAGTCGAACGGGAAGCTGGAAGTGGTGGTGTTGGAAGGGGACTTCAATAAACCTCTAGACGACGGCTGGACGCAGGTGAGTGAGTCGAGCTTTGCGACGTTTGAGACATCCTGAAACAGGAAGCTAGAGGTGGGTTGTGCGGGAAGGGGATTTGGCAACAGCAGCTGGCCGGATCCGTTCCCAGCAGTCTCCTCCTTGCACTGCGGCGCAAAAACACTCTCTTACTTGCACCGCCATCCTTATCTTTGAAAACCCCCCTTCACCTCTTCCCCTGTTCCTTTCCGCCATCCTCCCTTTGTACCACCTTTGCACCTCTCCGCCTGTTCACCCAGCTCTCCCCTCCCCCCTTCCCCCCTCGGTCCCCCCCCCCCCCCCCGGGAGGAGTTTGAGCAGAACGTGGTGAAGGAGCGCGAGGGCAAGCGGCCGCTGCTGACGGGCGTCTCCTTGCGAGGAGGCTCAGAAACACTTTCCTGCTGCGACCCTCATCCCACTTTTCTGGACTGTACCCTCCTGCACCTCTCCCACTGTTCCCCTCCCACTCTTTCCCTCTTCCCCCCTTCTCTCCTCCCCCTCCTCCATCCCCCCTCCCCTCCGCCTCTTTTCTCTCCCCAACCCCCGGCAGGAGGAGTTTGAGCAGAACGTGGTGAAGGAGCGCGAGGGCAAGCGGCCGCTGCTGACAGGCGAGGTGACGTTCAACCTCAAGGACGGCGTGGGCACGCTGGGCGACCTCTGCTTCACCGACAACAGCAGCTGGATCCGCTCACAGGCGTCCCCTTGCGAGACGGCGTACAGACACTCTCCCTTCCGCGCCCCCCGTCCCCCATTTCCAATAACCCTTCTGCACCTCTCCCCCTGTTCCCCCCCTCCCCCACCTTCCCCCCAACCCCCCTCCCCTGCCCGTCCCCTTCGCCAGGAGGAGTTTGAGCAGAACGTGGTGAAGGAGCGCGAGGGCAAGTGGCCGCTGCTGACAGGCGAGGTGACGTTCAACCTCAAGGACGGCGTGGGCACGCTGGGCGACCTCTGCTTCACCGACAACAGCAGCTGGATCCGCTCACAGGCGTCCCCTTGCGAGACGGCGTACAGACACTCTCCCTTCCGCGCCCCCCGTCCCCCATTTCCAATAACCCTTCTGCACCTCTCCCCCTGTTCCCCCCCTCCCCCACCTTCCCCCCAACCCCCCTCCCCTGCCCGTCCCCTTCGCCAGGAGGAGTTTGAGCAGAACGTGGTGAAGGAGCGCGAGGGCAAGCGGCCGCTGCTGACAGGCGAGGTGACGTTCAACCTCAAGGACGGCGTGGGCACGCTGGGCGACCTCTGCTTCACGGACAACAGCAGCTGGATCCGCTCGCGCAAGTTCCGCCTCGGAGTTAGGGTTGCGCCCGGGCAGGAGGGGGAGGGCGGGGGCGTGCGCGTGCGGGAGGCCAAGACTGAGGCGTTCACGGTTAAGGACCACCGGGGGGAATGTGAGTGGCGCAGGGCGGGGGCAATGGCCTTGGGGTAGGGGGGTAGGGGGAAAGGGGGGAGGGGGGCATGGGGGAAGGGGGGAAGGCGGGGGAAGGGGGGAAGGCGGGGGAAGGGCTTGGGACGGGAAAGGGCCACGCTGGGCGACCTCTGCTTCACGGACAACAGCAGCTGGATCCGCTCGCGCAAGTTCCGTCTGGGTGTCAGGGTGGCGCCCGGGCAGGAGGGGGAGGGCGGGGGCGTGCGCGTGCGGGAGGCCAAGACTGAGGCGTTCACAGTTAAGGACCACCGGGGAGAACGTGAGTGGCGCATGGCTGGCGCTATGGCTGGGTAGAAGGGGGGAAAACGGGGAGATGGGGGGGGGGTAAAGGGGCGTTGGGGTGGAAAGTGGAGCGTGGGGAGTAGGGAGGGGGAAGGTGCGTATTGGGGGTCAGTGGAGAGAGGTTCGAGTTGGGGTGAAATAGATTTACCAAGTCGATGCGATCACTGCTCTCCCAGTCTCTCGCTCATCCCTCCGTCGTCTCCGCTTGCTACTGCTTGCTACCTCTGCTCTCTGATTCCTTTTCTGTGGCTGTGTCCCGTCAAGTTTCTGTTTCCCTGTCCCCCCCCTGTCTTTCTGCAACGTTTTCGACCTCATTGCGCTCCCCTCATCTGCTCAGCTCCCTTCCCCTCCCCCACCTCACTTCACACCACCCTGCCCCTCGCCATTTTCGTTCATCCGCCCTCCCCTGCTCTCTGTTCCCCGTCCAACTTCCTCCTTCCCCCCGCTTCAATTCTATCTCCCACCCGCCCTTCCCTACCCCTTCTGTCTCCCTCTGGTCTCCCCATTCTCCAGATTCTGTCTCCCAACCCAACCGCCCTTCCCCACCCCTTCCCTCCCGGCGCCTTCTCCCTCCATCTTTCCCGCTCCATCTTTCCCGCTCCCAGTGTCCTGTAACACCATTCGCCCAAGGCAAATGACGAGGTGTGCCGGCTCCGACTTCCAGCCCTTCATTCCCCGCCTTCCTCGCCCCTCCCTCAGCACACCCCCTCCCCTCTGGGCCCGTACTCCCACCCACCTCCCCCGCGTCCCCCCATTACCCCTCCCCTGCAGTGTACAAGAAGTACTATCCTCCGAAGCTGAACGAAGAGGTGTGACAGCCCAATCACGCAGCCCCCTATTCCCCCCATCCTCCCCCCCCTACACCTCATCCCTGGCGGTCCCTTCTATTCCCCCTCCCCAACGTCCCCTTCCCCTCCTACCCGCTCCCTCGCGGTGTACAAGAAGCACTACCCGCCGAAGCTGAATGACGAGGTGTGACATCTCAAGAACCCAACCCACTCTCTTCCCTCCCTACTCCCTCCTCGTCCCCCTCACGCGCCTCCTTCTCGGCCCACACCCCCTTCCCCCGCAGTGTACAAGAAGCACTACCCTTCCACAAGCGCCTCAACCAGTCCGCCATCGTCACACTTTCCCCTCTCCTCCTCCCCTCCCCTTCAACCCCCCTTGGAATTTCCTTCAACCCGCTTCCCTGCATCCCCACATTCCTCCTCCCCCGCATCCCCGTCTCCTCTCCCGCCCCTCCCCCCCACCCCCCTCTCCCCCCCACCCCCCTCTCCCCCCCACCCCCCTCCCCCGCAGTGTACAAGAAGCACTACCCGCCGAAGCTGAACGACGAGGTGTGGCGGCTGGACAAGATCGGCAAGGACGGCGCCTTCCACAAGCGCCTCAACCAGTCCGCCATCGTCACCGTCGAGGACTTCCTGCGCCTCATTGTCATGGATCCGCAGAGGCTGCGCTCGGTTCGTGTATACATACACCGTCTGCATGCACCTACATGCACCCCTGTATGCACCCGCGCGTGCACCCCTGCATGGACCGCAGAGGTTCCGATCAGTGAGGTAGGGCAGGGTCAACGGTCCACAAGCGCCTCAACCAGTCCGCCATCGTGACTGTTGAGGACTTCCTGCGCCTCATTGTCATGGACCCGCAGAGGCTGCGCTCGGTGAGTGCGCTGTGCACCTTGGCAAGACCGCAGAGGTTCCGATCAGAGCCTCCCTGCCGTGCAGCGAGGGAAGAGCCAGGTGAAAAGAAAGGTGTGCAAGCGAAGCGCCTCAACCAGTCCGCCATCGTCACCGTTGAGCAGCCCGGTGTTCACCTGCGCCTCATTGTCATGGAGCACCGTGCAGCAACAATGAGCGCGGCCCCAGAGGCTGTATGCACCCCTGCGAAGCGCTCGGTGAGCAGCACATATAGAGCTGTATGCACCCCTGTGTACACCTCGGAATGCACATGCATGCACCCCAAAACCTCCATTGCCCTTTCCTTCTTCCCTCGCTGTTCCAGATCCTGGGGTCAAGTCAAGCATGCCGAACAAGATTTCGAAGGGCGTGGTGGAGCACACCGAGACGACTTGTGAGACGACTCAAACCACTTGTCTTGGTCGCTCTCCCCACTCCCCGCTCCCCCTCCCCCTCCCCCGTCCCCCCCTTCTCTGTTCCAGATCCTGGGGTCAAGTCAAGCATGTCGAACAAGATTTCGAAGGGTGTGGTGGAGCACGCCAAGATGGCTTCTGAGACAACTCCAAACGCTTGCCTTGGTCCCCAGTCCCCCCCCTCCCTTCTCCCCCGTCCCTCCTCCTTCCTCACTCCTCCCTCCTCTCCCTCCCTTTCTCCTTACCTCCAGATCCTGGGATCGGGCATGTCGAACAAGATGTGGGAGGGCGTGGTGGAGCACGCCAAGACGACTCAAAGGCTCGCCCTCCCTTGGTTCTCTTCCCCCTTCCCCCCTGCCCCCCTTCCCCCCATCCTCCTTCTCTTCAGATCCTGGGCTCAGGCATGTCGAACAAGATGTGGGAGGGCGTGGTGGAGCACGCCAAGACGACTTCTGAGACAACTCCAAACGCTCGTCTTGGTCCCCTCTCCCCCTCCCCCCTCCTCCGTCCCTCCTCCCCCCTCCTCTCTCCCCTTCCCCTCCCTCCTCTTCAGATCCTGGGCTCCGGCATGTCGAACAAGATGTGGGAGGGCGTGGTGGAGCACGCCAAGACGTGTGCGCTGAACGGGAAGCTGTACGTGTACTATGCGGACGAGAAGCAGAACATCGGCGTGATCTTCAACAACATCTTCCAGCTCATGGGGCTCATTGCTGACGGCCAGTACATGTCCGTCGACCTGCTCTCCGACTCCGAAAAGGTAAGCGAGATGGGAGGAAAGGGGGGAGAAGGGGCGGATTGAACGTGTGGTAAGGGAGGGGAGGGGCAGGGAGAGCGGGAGGGGGAAGGGAAGGGGAAGGGGAGGGGAATGTGGGCGAGATGGTGACGGGAGAGAGTAAGGGAGGGGAGTCTAGTACCAAGTGCTTAGATCGCCTGGTTTGACACAGAGAAAAAGGGGGAGGCCACATTCCCCTCCGCCCTGCGTGCGTGCCTTCCACCCACATGCACCAGCCAGCTCTACGTGGACCGGCTAGTGACCATGGCATACAACGACTGGGACAGCGTGGTGGAGTACGTCGGGGTGGCACTCATTGCCGCCCCCTCTGCCCCACAATCCCCTCCCCCCCCTCTCCCCCCTATGTGCATGCAGCTGTACGTGGACCGGCTAGTGACCATGGCATACAACGACTGGGACAGCGTGGTGGAGTACGACGGGGAGGCCAGGCGCTCATTACTGGCCCTCCACCCCACCCTTGTCCCCCAATCCTCTTCCCCTTGCACCTGTGCCCCCCGAACCGGATGCAGCTGTATGTGGACCGGCTAGTGACCATGGCATACTGGGACAGCGTGGTGGAGTACGATGGGGAGGCGCTAATCGCTTCCACCTCCACCCTATCCCACTTTTCCCCCTGCCCTGTGTGCGTGCCCCCTTCGTGCAGCTGTATGTGGACCGGCTAGTGACCATGGCATACAACGATTGGGACAGCGTGGTGGAGTACGACGGGGAGGCACTCATCGCCTCGCAGCGTGCCGCAGGGCAAACGGCCGGGGGCGACAAGGCAGGGCCGTCGTCGGCGCCCACTGTGTCGGTGACTGTTGGGGCGTCCACTGCTGCTGAGGGGCAGGGCACTGCCACTTCGCTCGATGACTCTGATGGGCCTCAAGGTAGAAACGAACAAGAGAGGTTGGCTTCTTGAGGGGGAGAAAGATAGTGGGGGGGGGGGGGGGGGGGGGAGGATGGGGGAGCTCTGGGGTGGGAAAAGGGGGGTATGGTAGTCTGGTGGGTCTGATTCAGGTGCGTGAAGGGGAGGAACGTCAAGGCAGGGAGGGCTGGCCTGCTTAGGGCGACAAGGCAAGGCAGGGCCGTAGTCTGCGCCTAGCATACATTGTCGGTGACTGCTGGGGCGTCCACTGGTGCTGGAGGGGCAGGGCACTGCCACTTGGCTTGATGTCTCCGATGGGCCTCAAGGTAGGAACGAGAGAGGTTGGGAGATGATGTTGGGGGAGGTGGAAAAAGGCACCTGCAGTTGTTCGGCTCGGCACCTGTTGTGTCTGAATCCAACCAGCAACCTTCGTTTCATTCACACCGTGGTGCATGTGCATGTGCGTGTGTGTGTTCTCGTCTGCGCGTGTGCCCCTCTGTGTGTAACCTGTTGTGTGGTTAGGTGGCTCTTACCAAATCGACTCGGTGCAGCAGCAGCAGGGTATCTCGGGCAATGCATCGTTGCTACAACAGCACGTGAGGCGGCAGGCATTGGCCAACGACCAAGCACAGGTAAGAGGTCTAGTTTTTAGGCGCCTCGAAACTCGTTGCAGCAGCAGCAGCAGGGTATCTCGGGCAATGCCCTCTGTCTATGCCCTCTGTTTATGCCCTCTGTCTATGCCCTCTGTCTATGCCCTCTGTCGATGCCCTCTGTCGATGCCCTCTGTCTATGCCCTCTGTCTATGCCCTCTGTCTATGCCCTCTGTCTATGCCCTCTGTCTATGCCCTCTGTCTATGCCCTCTGTCGATGCCCTCTGTCGATGCCCTCTGTCGATGCCCTCTGTCTATGCCCTCTGTTTATGCCCTCTGTCTATGCCCTCTGTCGATGCCCTCTGTCGATGCCCTCTGTCGATGCCCTCTGTCTATGCCCTCTGTCTACACCACTCCACTATGCACTGCTGCTTCGCTCGTTCAAGCTCTCTCACATGGGGCATTAACTTAACCCACCACCCATCATCATGATTAAGCTCACCTCTCTATCAACCCACCCGTCTGGCCGCACATGCCTTGCTGGAATCGTTCTGCCCTTTCATTCAGGCTGTGGAGCAGAAGCACCAGAACCAGGACCAGCAGCAGCAGCAGCAGCAGCTGCTTCAATTGGGCCTGGGTAGACAAGGTGGTCAGCAGAACCCCCCACAGCAGCAGCAGCAGCAGCAGCAGCAGATGGGGTATGGAGGGGGTGTGGGAGGGATGGGAGCAGGCAGCTCAGGAGGAGGAGGAGCAGGAGGAGGGGGACTCTGGGATGGCTCCACTGCTGTTGCAGGGGGCGGGGAGGGTCACATGGGCGGTAACAACAACACTGTTACAGTGGGCCCAGATCCTTTCGCCAATGCCATGGTTCCCTTTGGTGCTGGTGCCGCCGCCGGTGGTGGGGGTACTGGCGGTTTGGGGAATGACGGGGCGGGAGGAATGGGAGGAGGGGGCATATCGGGGTGGGCGTCTGGAGTGGGGAATGCGAGCAGTGGGGCGACAGGAGCAGCAGCGGCGGCTGCGGCGCTCTTTGGTGGGCCTGGGGGGCTCAGTGGGCACTTGGACGACTTTGGGCTGTCAGAGGAGGATCTGCGTGCTAAGAGCCTGGAGCTTCTCGAAAATGAGGATATGCACCAACAGGTGTGTGTGTGTGTGTGTGTGTGTGTGTGTGTGAGTGTGTGTGTGTGTGTGTGTGTGTGTGTGTGTGTGTGTGTGTGACCCATGTTGTTGGATAGAGTAAGATACTTGAGAAGCATGGCATGCACCAAGAGGTGTGTGGGACCCGCCTCACTGCCTTGCCTGTAGCTCCTGCTATGCTGAGCGCCAAAATAGCCGGTTTGGCTTCACAGGAGTTGTCAGAGTGAGGCTTCCTGTGTTTTTTTCAAGAAAGTTGTTCAATCTGCTGAACTCCTTTAGCTCCACATGTGCACTTACACCCCCTCCCATCTCCCCACACCACTGCCACTTTTCCTCACCATCATTACCCCCCTCGCTCACCCTCGTCCTCTCACCAAGGCTCCACCCAGCGTCCCTTGATTCAACCCTGTTTGCGCTTCTGTTAAAGCTTCGTGACCCATGTGATCACATTATCTTTCACAATTCTCCCTCGCCCACCCTAAATTCTTCCCCACCCCCTCCACCCTCTACAACCACCAACACCCCGTACTCGTCCTGTGATGCAAACTTTCTTCTCCCCACATGCAGATGCAGCAGCTGCTAGGTCTGATCAACGACTACACGCCGGCAGGGTCAGCAGGGACCATCACAGCGAACCTACAGCACGATGACAACGAAATTGTTTTCCAAGGGGGGTTCCTCACTCCCTCTGCTCCCACCGGTGCTGTGACTGCTGGAGGTTCAGGAGGGGTTGCGGTAGGGGGAGGAGTTGGTGGGGACGGGGTGGGCCCGGATGGGGCTTCGCACTTGAAGCATACGAGCAAGGTTGGGTGGCTGAAGCTGCGGGCGGCGTTGCGGTGGGGCATCTTTATCAGGAAAAGGGCTGCGCAGAGGCGTGCGCAGATTGTTCAGTTGGACGACAATGATGATGATGAATAGGGAGTGAGAAGTGATCTGGGTGGGAGTGAGAAGTGATCTGGGTGGGAGTGAGAAGTGATCTGGGTTGGAGTGAGAAGTGATCTGGGTGGGAGTGAGAAGTGATCTGGGTGGGAGTGAGAAGTGATCTGGGTGGGAGTGAGAAGTGATCTGGGTGGGAGTGAGAAGTGATCTGGGTGGGATCTGTGACAGGTGGGATGGGACAGGGTGGGGAAGGGATAAGGAGTGGAAGGGGGATCATTCGGAGTGGGGGGATCATTCGGAGTGGGGTGGGTGAGGAGTAGCTAGGGGAAAGAGATGAAAGACAGTAGATCAAAGGGAGTGTGCAGACGGGTGACCTATGGGTTCGTGGGTGTCGCTGCTCAATATGAAAGTTCCTGGAAGAGGCTATAAAAGTGTGCTTGGCATAGCACGCTTCTTCCTGGTATTTTACTAATTGCCCGCTTATCTCCAAGCTGGATACTTTCCAGTTCGAGAGGAATAAGTGGGCGCTTTTTCTTTCCCTGGCTGTTCATGGGTAGTTGGCTATCGCATGCATTATACTTGTACCTAAAATCTTCAAATACAGAAACATCATATATTTATTCCGTTAGAGGTTTTATGCTGTATGGATCTTGGCACCCACATCCGACAAAGCTACCTCGAGTCCTGATCGTCGACCACGAAATCTCTCGCTCCGCAGATTGCTTTTACCCATCGGAAAGCTGCCACGTGCCATTTGTCGACCTCGCCATGCCGCTGTTCCCCCTTGGTATGATCTCCTTCAGATCCGCGCTTTGAGAGTCTTACCAATCACGGTTCGGATGCAGCGCCAATGGGGTGCAGGCTGCATCTCCCCAAGCCAAAGCCTGCTGCTCTAACACCCACACATTCTGCTCACCGCCCCCATGAGCGGGAGAATGGGAAGTTGGGCTGCCTTCCCGCAACTAGCAGCCCTTTCCGCGCGCGCCTCTTCACCTCCCCTCAAACATCCACCCACCTTCCCTCCGCCCTATTTTCCCCCGTACCCACTACCCCACGTATCCGCGCAACCTTTTCTGCTGCTTCCGCCCCTTGCCTAGCAGGATCAGCAATCCATCCAAAAAGCTTTTGCCCCTGAACCCACTATTTTTAAACTCACCTGAACCGTGACCAGACTGTAGCCTTGTTCGCGCATACTAGTATGGCACTGGCACAGTAAGAAATTGGTAAACTCTATATTTCTCGCTGCTATGGTGCCCATACGCGTCGACTGGCTTGTGCTCCCGTTTGTTACATTCAACGCTTACTCGCAATATTATTGTCATGGGGCTTGGACTACGCTATAGCTGCAGCAATATAGGCAATCGATGCTGAGCGTCTGAGGTCGTTTCCTGGCGCGTCGGGTTAATTCACTCCTTCCTACTTCGTTCAGCCCTCTCGCCAATTCCTCAATCACGCTTGGTCACAAACAGCAGTTCCCGCACACCATGATCCCTTCGCTTTGTTCACCGTCGCTTCAGTCACACTCGCGTGCTGGAAGCGCAACGCTCGTGAGTTCTTGTCCGCGTCAGCCTCTCGAGACAGCGGTCCAGTCCTCGGCTTTCCCCGTGTCCTCCGCTTCCCTCGCTCCCGCCGCTTTTGCCGCGGTCCCTGCGCAGCCTTCTTCGTTCATCCACCAATCGTGTGGCCGCCTCACGTCCCCAGCGTTCTCCCCGTCGTGCGTTCACCTTCCGCATTCTCCGCCCAACGCCTCCCCCGCGCGCGTTTCCGGGGGACAAGCAGCCCTTTTCCCCGCGCTCTCGTCCTCCGCTAGCCTCGGCGGAAGCATCAAGCTAAGAAGTATCAACGGCAGGTCCGGCGGAAAACACGGCAGCAATAGCAGCAGCAGCACTGCGGGCGGCGGTGGTGGCGGCGGCGGCGGCCACCGCAGCGGCCGCGTCGCAACTTCTTTCTCTGGCGCCTCGAGATTCGATTCGACATCCAGAGCTGCATGTGTACGCGCGTACGCGTTAAAACAATTTCACGGCGCATCGGCGGAACGCGCAGACATGCGGATGCTATTGCCACAGAGCCTCCCCGCGTTCCCCGGAAACAAGCTCCCGGTGAGCGCGGGTATGGGGGGAGAACAAGCGGAAGGGGCGGAACGGGGTAGAAAGGGTATAAAGGCCGGGAAATGGGTGGGACGGTGTTTGAAATGAACGTACTCTGGACCTGGTAACGAGTACAGAAACGAGGATTGGGTGCAGGAACATAAATGATCGGCTTAAAGATAGAAACTTGGTGTCTTTGGAAATTTCTCCCCATGGCAAAGATCGTATCTACGCATGCTTTCTCCTCCACCCTTCTCCCCCCACCCCCTCCAAACCCCCACATCCCCCCTTCTTTTCCCGCTCTTCCCCCTCCCCCCCCCCCGGCAAACAAAAGTTTCTCTCCCCCCTTCCCCCCCCCCCCCCCCCCCCCCCCCCTCTCTCCCCTCTCCCGCCACCCCCCGCCCTCATCTCTCTTTCCTCCCCTTTCCTCTCTTCACTGCTCTTCTCCGCCCCTCCTCCTCCCCCTTCCTCCTTTCTTCCCCTCCCCGAACCCTCCCGTCCTTCGTCCTTCCCCTTCCTCCCGCCCCTCCATTCGCAGCTCCCGTCCGTTACCTCCTTTTCTCCGTTCGCGAGCCCGTCGCAACAACGGCTGGGCGACTCCGTGCGATGCTGTGCGAACGCCAGGCGACGCGCTGATCGCGAGCCGCTGCTGACGCACACCGTGGAAGAGTGAGTGAGCATGATAAGAATGATTCCCGTACTTCGTCGTCATTATGGCGTTCACAACGTGTGTATGAGTCTGAGTCACTTAGTAACGCGTGCTGAATAAACACACACAATCACACACAGAGACACACGAACCCACAACGCCGCCCGCCACAACCACATCTCCACCCTCTCCCCCTCCCTCTCCCCCATCCCCCCCGTCCCTTCCTCTTCTTTTCTCTCTACACTCTCACACATGACGCCATGGCCCCATGGCAGACCCAGATGATAATATGATGCCTCTCAATCCAATGTCCTCAATCCAACTTTCCCCCACTCCCGCTTTCTAAACTCGCTCTTCTCTCTAGCTGTCCTCTCAGCCCTGCTCTCTCCCTTTCTCGTTCTCTCTCTTTGCCTCCCTTCCCCTTTCCATCGCTCAATCCCCCCTCCCCCAACCCCTTCAACACCCCCGCCCCTCCCCGTATCTCTCACCCGCCCCTTCCCCCGCCCCTCCCCGTATCTCTCACCCGCCCCTTCCCCCGCCCCTCACCGTACCTCTCACCCGCCCCTTCCCCCGCCCCTCCCCGTACCTCTCACCCGCCCTCCCCTCGCCCCTCTCCGCTTTCCCCCGCCTCTCCCCCGTACGCTCGCGGGCAACCACCACCACCACCACCACCACAACGGGCAGGGGCGAGACATTGTGGGGCATATCGCAGCGGTACGGCGTGCGAGTGAAGGACATACTGCGCGCCAATGGGCTCACAGACGTGCACCACGTGGAGCTCGAAACCACTCTGCTCATCCCCCGCTCTGCTGCCGCCACCGCCGCCACCGCCGCCGCCGCCGCTGCTCCTGCTGCTGCTCCATCTGCTGCTCCTGCCGCTGCTTCTGATGCTGCTGCTCTTTCTGCTGGCACTCCTGCTCTGCACGCGAGCGCAAGCGCCCAGAGCAACAGCGGCAGTAGCAGCAGGAGCAATACTACTCCCATGCCAGTCACTGCTGCTGCCGCTCCCACCACCACTGTCGATGGTCGCAGCAGCTCCTCAGTTTCCATTTCCTCTGATTCAGCCTCTGCCATTGCTCCTAGACGGACAGGCAGCAGCAGCAGCAGCAGAAGTGATGGGAGGGCGAAAGCATCGGCGAGCGGAAAACCGCGCTTGTTCTTTCAGGTAGGGAACTCACAGTTTGCAACTGGTGTCTGTGCTGCTGCTGCTTCTGCTGCTGCGCGCAAATGCACCCACTCACGCACGCACGCGCGCGCGCGCACACACACACACACACACATGCACGCACGCACGCACGCACACAAACCCCCCCTCCCCACACTCACACATCGCGACCATCCCCAACCGCCGGCCTCCCATTATCTCCACCACAACCACGACCACTAAACTCCCCCTTCCCATCCCCATCCTTCACCACCACCACCACCACCACCACTGCAATGACCAGCAGAATACCAATCTGGAGCAGTCTGAGGAGCTGGCGTTGCTACAGGCACGGGCAAGGCACCAGGTGGGTCGGTCGGTCGGCTTGCCTTGTCTGTTTATGCAGCGCTTTGAAACAAGATGAGGGGTGGGCAGCTCATGAGCTCATGAGCATGTAGACAGACAGACAGTTGCGAGCTTTTGTTCTCGGAAGAGTTTTTTTCTGACCGCATTGCTTGGTGTGAGGAATTCCTCTGGGAAGAGGAGGAAGGGTTTGGAAATAAGGAATGGAATGAATGGTGTAAATAGTCCATTTTCTAAGATTAGGAGAAAAAAAAATAAATCTGGAGCCATTGGTCGCTCTTTCGAATTCAAAACAATCTGCAGTGATTGGAAATGAGAAATGCAGTGGGTGGTCGTTGAGCGAGGTAGGCGACTACCTGTGTTGGCCATGTCAACATAACTCAGTCACAGTTGGTGTTTTTATCTCAATTACCTACCCTCCCTCCACACCCCCCACACCGTGCGCTCTCCCCGTGCAGGATGCATGGAGCTGCATAAAAGGAACCGTCTCCTCCCTCTACTCCTCCCTCCACTCTTCCCTCCCCCAGCAATGGCATTCCTCCACTGCTCCTGCTCCCACACACCCGGTCACCCCCCCTTGCTCTCTCTCCTCCTCCTCCGCCGCCTCCCCCCCAACCCTCTTCCAAGGTCCCCTCCTCGTCTCTCTCGTGGCGTCGCTCTCTCTTGCGCTCCTCCTCTCGCTCCTCTCCTTCCTCCGTCCGATCTTTCTCCGCTTCCGCGCGTTGCAAGCTGAGAGAGAAGCAGCCACCGCCACTGCCAATCCCCTCACCCCTTTTGGGGGGTTGGGAATGGGGGTGGCACAGAGAGGAGGGGTTCAGGGCGGAGGGGGGGTGTTAACAGATAAGACTGGTGCTGGTGCTGGTATTGGTGAGGAAGAAAATGGGAGAGGAGGGATGGGAGGGGGAGGGGATGGTGGTGTGGGGGTGAGTGGAGGAGGGGTGCCTTTGCTGGGGGCTACAGCAGCGTTGATGCTGAACGAAGACCGACGGCTGAGAACGTCTGATTGGACTAGATCGAGAGGGGGAGCCTCGGCTGCAGCTGCTGCTGGTTCTGTTGCGGCTGGGATGGTGAGTTCTGCCTCTCATCCTCCTGCTCTCATCCTCTCACTCACTCACACCTCACCCTCACCCTCCCTCTCCCCCTCACCCTCTCCCTTTCCGCCTCCCTTTCCGTCTCCCCCTCCTTCTCCCTTTCTCTCCTTTCCCTCGGCACTCCTCTCCAAATCCTAAATCTCCTCAAATCTCTTATCGTCCCTTCCGTGCTCTTACCGCCCCCACTCCATTCCGCCCACCTCCTTCCCTCCCCTTTCCCCCTCCTCCCCTCCCTTCACAGGGTCGGCCGGACCTCACACCAGAGGATGTGGCTCGGGATTACGAGGAGATAGTGCGGTGCTACCATGAGGGCATGGCATCGTCCTATGAGTCCTTTCTGCGCGACAGCGGCCCCATGTCTGCCGGCCGCTTCCAGCAAGCATTTCCCCTGGTCTTCCAACCTCCCGAGCTCCTCAAGACTTATATATCGTCCCGTCCTTGCTCTTATCGCTCGTATCCCTCTTCCTTTCACCCCTCCTCCCCCCCTCCACTCCTCACTTCCCAGGGTCGGCCGGACCTCACGCCGGAGGACGTGGCTCGGGATTACGAGGAGATAGTGCGGTGCTACCATGAGGGCATGGCATCGTCCTATGAGTCCTTTCTGCGCGACAGCGGCGCCATGTCCGCCGGCCGCTTCCGGGGCGGCATGCCGCCCAAATTCAGGCCCAAGCCGAAGCAGCGGTGATGCTAGGATGGGGGTGCGGGAGAGGGTGTGGAGAGATGAGGTAGGAGCAACTAATCTTTGTGCCAGTGGGAGGTGATGGTGGTGAAGAGAGGGCAAGGAAGCAAAGGATTGTTGATCTGGAGCTAAGCTAAGGAAGCAGGCTGCTAGATCAGGACTGTGGGACCTGCTTGGGCTGACTCTGCTGCTGCTGGTGATGCTCCTGGTGCCGGTGGTGTTGGTATCACAGTTTCTGCTGAAGCCCTGCTGCTGCTGCTGCTGCTGCTGCTGCTGCTGCTGCTGTTGCTGCAACCACACTGTGTTCGTTCTTCCAACCCATGCCCATCCCACTGTGGAAAGCCCTGCGTGCCGAACTTGCCATTCCAAACCTTCCATTCTGAACTCGCCATTCCAAACCTGCCATTCTGAACCTGCCATACCAAGCCTTCCAAACGTGCCTTGCCGAACCTGCCATCCAAACCTGCCATACGGACCTTCCGTGCCCTACCTACCTACTACAATGTCGAACCAACCATGATGCACCTGCCATCTCAAACCTGTCATGCCAAACCGCTTATCCAGACTTTCAATGCTGAACCTGTTGTCTAAACCTGCCATGCCAAACCTGCCATCCAAACCTGCCATTCGAAACCCATCACTCCAAACCTTCCACGCCAACTCACCAGGGCCAATCAACCAGCAAGCACCAGTCCTCCCATGCTGAACCTGCCATTTCAACCCTGCCATTCCAAACCTGAGATGCCAAACCTTCGACGCAACCCACCTCCACGTCCTCCCGCACGCGTCATACCGCTTGCATTTTTGCATCACAGTCATGATCCCGTAACCTCACTTCGCCAGCTTTCATGTGCCACTGTAATGAGGTGCCTTGCCCTTTGACTCGACACAGAAATCTCACCGGCTTTTCCACTCTCCTTTCAAGCACCTCCTTCCACACACTTTTTCTTAGTCAAGCTTTACAGCCTGAACATTACCAGCAGCAGCACCAAGCCCACTCAGTAGCAGCAGCAGCAGCAGCAATTGCAGCAAGAGCAAGAGCCTGATGAGCAGCGAGCATCAACCCATACACCATACCTCCCTTAGTACCATCAAAGTGTTTCGAACCCGGCTGTGCGACGAACACCGTACCTCCAGTCTCTATCCTTTTTCACGTCGTATCGTATCTCAGCCCATCATCCCCTCACACACTGCACTGCCACCTTATGTGCATGAATTGCCAAGCCAATCCTCTCTCAGCCTCCACCTCCGTCCCCCGACATCACTCCTTTCTCCTCCTGCCTGTCTCGTCTAAAAACTAATGCACCACTTCACTTTTACCTCTCACTGCTGAAGAATGTTCTGATGAGAGGGTTGGGTTGGGCTGGGTCAGAAGTATGCCTCAGTAACACTTGATGATTCATTATTCTAGGTGCTCAGGGGTTGACGATTGAGAGACGAGATTTTATGCAGGGTTGAGTTTGAGTTGAGTGACTTTTTTGTAGGGTCTGGGGAAGTGGGTGACACGGCGAGCAAGCAACACTTTCAGTTTTGCAGGGAAAAGGCAATAGAATTTTAACAGTGGCATCGTTACAAGTTTACTGTACCTCTAGTAATCTCCTGTCTCTTAGTGGACTTGAGTTACAGTGATCAAGGATTTCCATTTATGGTAATAACCATGTATGTATTCGGCCAATAGATACACAAGCACACACTGCCCAACATCTGATATCGAATCATCTGTTGGAAATCCGAATACAGTATAACGAATACTGTATACCAGTGTGCTGTTTGGTTTTAGTGTAGTCCTCTTTATAAGCTTCCAGGTCCTACAATTATTGTAGGGGCCAGAATTATTGGAGGTCAGCATTATTGGAGGGTAGAGGGTACAATTATTGGTACACCATTATTGGTGTGAATGGGTCATTCTGGAGGGGTAGCTGGATGCATATATACCCTGCTGTGTCACATCATTGAGTACTCATTGTGTCATCCTTTTACTTTTCAATGATCAATGCAAGATTTCTATCTTGTTCTTTTCTACAAACACGTTTCCGCTACGCTGGCACTATGTCTTTCTAGCATGGTATCAGAGCTACTCTAGGGGGCATGCTGCCAAAACTGGTTCAGGAATTTACTGGCATACAGTTTGGATAGGTACCTGCATACAGTCGGAGTACCGCACACCCGGTCTACGCTTTCGTACACCTGGTGTTCGCTGTTGGTTACAACTGCGCGTTTACCGCACACTTGGTGGACGGTTTTGTCAAGGTCATGGCGCACTTCGATGGCGAAGTGGATCCTGGATATGCGGCTTTTGAAGAAGCCATCATGGCTCAGCATGAGCACCTGGAAAGCATGATTGCAAGGGCACCACCAACTCTCCAAGCTTCGTTAAGGGACAAGTTTGGAATGACAATCCAGCCAAGAGCAAAACTCTCTCATGAGTTCAGCAATCCGTCCACCCATGAACAATCTCATTCAAGCACTCCACGTACTAACCAAACTCGTGCAAATGTTCATGCAGGAATTGATGGTGAAGGGGAAATGGGCATACCTCAAGGAGGAGAGTCATCCCAATGGAGGGATGCATCCGTCCAAGGAGAGGAGATCGCCAATTCCGCACCTCAATCATCCATGCAAAGGGAAGCACGGAGGAGGAATGATGAGTATCGGAGTGCAGTGTTTGGTGGGATGAGAAGTGGACAGATTGGGCATCAGGGTGACAGAAGTGGTGAAGTGGGCGTGGAAGGTGTGGGATTCGCCTCCTACACTATTGGTGCTCCCCCACTACGACGACTTGCGACCAACTCCCATCCCATTGGAGTTCTTCCCATGCCCAGGTCTCACCTTCATGGCGACAACATCATCCCTCCACGTGCACATCGTCCACCAATCAGCGCACACTCTGTGGACAGCATGGGGCGGATGGGATACGGAATGCAGTCAAATGGTGTCATGCGACGGGATCAAGTGGAAGTGCTGGAACGTCAACTTGGTGGACAGAATGGAGATATGCGGCGCACGGTACAGCTACCTCGACCGTCAACCATGCCTACTCTCTTCGACCCCGCACCACGTGAATATACGGACGAAGACAAGGAACGACTGTCACGCAAAATGGTGGGAGCAACGGTGGACAAGGCATTCACCACCACTCCGTTTGACGGCTCAAATTTCCGTGAATGGGCACTACGGTTTCGTATGAACGCCCGGGTCACGAATCTGTGGGAGTTCTTTGTGACCCTGCAGTATCCGGTTACCATTGGAGATGGTGACATTGACGACGCTATGGGGCGGCTGGAAATGCTACAGGCGGATTACTCCCAGCGTGCGGCACTCGCCTTTTGGGTCCTATTGCACAGCGTGAGCGCCACGATTCAACTACAACTAGACATGTTCCAGGAATCCTACAGCCCGGCTTATGAAGCATGGGAGTACTTAATGGATACTTACCAGGCCAAAGATTCGGTGGCGAAGGTATCTCTCATGAAGGAGCTGGACAACCTGAAAATGGGGAATGCGGAAAGGGTGGAGGAGTACGTGAACCGCGCAACGGCAATCCGGGACAAGTTAGCACTCGCGGGGAAGATGGTGGATGAGGACACATTTACCTTAAATCTGCTCACCGGACTACCGGCGCATTGGGAGGAGATGAGGCACTCGGCAATGCTACACAACGTGACGGACAGCTTCACCTTGCAGCGGATGATGATTCAGGAGCAGAGATACCACGACCTCATCACGAAGAATAACCGTGACCGGCGTCCACCTCGTATGGTTGGACAAGCACGTGGAGACCACTCACCTTCTCCAACTGCTAAGGGCAAAACCGGGAAGGAGGGGTCCAGTGGGGAGAAAACGCATGGCAAGGAAGGAAGTGCGGATCGCTCACCTCTTCTGTGTTGGTACTGCAAGGAGGTCGGCCACCCCTTCTTCAAGTGTACTAAGGCACCCCCTGGCTGGTCACCACCAGGGTGGGAACCGCATACCAGAAAGGCAAAACTGCACACCAGCGATAGTCGTTCGTCCTCCCCACGAAGGAGTCGCAGCCCCAAGCGTGACGACGAAGCATCAACACAGCAAGGGACAGCCGGGGAAGACAAGCAACGTACTGTTACGTGCATTGCAACGGTGGGATCGTCACAAGCTACCTTACCACCAGCTAAAGCGTCATCTTGGATGCTGGATAGTGGATGCAGCCAGCACATGACCCCGGACAAGCGCTGGTTTGAAGAGTTAAGGGAGCTGGATGAACCTGTTTGTGTGGAGCTCGCTAATGGGAGCGAGCTGAGCAGCACTATGACGGGAACGATCAGAGCAACGGCACCTGATGGGACAACAGTCCGGTACACTGACGTCCTCTACGTACCTGGCCTGAAGAGCAACCTGCTCTCCTATTGTCAGCTGCTGAAAAAGGGAGCACACATCAATACGATTGCTTATGGAGACGTAGAAGTCACCATGAAAGATGGAGAGGAGTACGTGCGGATTGGAGTTGGCAAGAACGTGGATGGAGTGCTCGTGGTGCAGTATGAGCATGCACTTACATCCGCCCATGATACTGGACATTCCCATGATGGCGCGTCATCAAAGAAGCATGATTGTGAAGAGGGTACACGTTCCTGCACACCTGGAGTGCAGTTGAGTGTCCGCTCTGCACATGCATCCGTTCAGTACCGCATGGCACACAAAGCCTGCATCGTGCGGAAGCGGGCACATGATGATACCACACATGAAGTCTCACCCCACGTTGCGGTGTGGACTTCAGGGGGAGAAGAAAAACGGTTCGCGATGGATTTGGGAGTCGATGGAGCTGACCCTGTAAAACAGGACTTACCTGGAGCTGATGAAGTTGCTGCAACCCAAGGAAGCGGAGATGCAGATGACTTACCTGCAGCAGGTGTCTCCATTTCGGAAGACGTGGAAAATGTCGACGTTGGAGATGCGGTGAACGAGTCAAGAAAGAAGCATCTTACCTGCACTCTGCTGGCTGGTCAAGGCAATCAAGTCAAGGATTATGGTGT